GAGCAATTCAAAATTAATTTTTATATGTTTTAATATCGCGTCCCACGTGAAACCTGGCAGTGTGTAATAATGCACGGGATCTAGACCGTAACTTTTGATACAACTATCGCGGAAATTTTCGAAAATATCAGCCAATAACAAAACATCAATCTTCAGGTACAAATCACTATATTCGCCTAAAGTTTGAATAGAAAACTGCTCCCATACATTCACAGCGTGCGTGTAATCGCACTCAGATATTATATTATCTGTCAACGAACTGTAAAATAAATCGCGTGATGGTTGATCCTGCAGCTTGTCATTGCAATCCACATATTCGTACGGAAAGACATCTTTTCGCGTTAATAAATCAAAATCTTTGTCAGATAAGTTTTTAAATTCGGATTGAACAATTTTTAATTTGTCTCTAGTGAAAAACGGTGCTAATTTATCGAGACTGGTACTGAAACATTTGTACGAATCGATGAATTGCAATTCAATATAATTTCGCCAGTCTGATGTTTTACTTGTTGTATCATTAATATGTTTGGTAAATGAAATATATTTTTCTTTCGTTATTGGTAGTACATCGACGTGACCTTCGAACGCGGTGGCTACTTCCTTGATAATAAAATGAGCGTCATAATCTGATAAGTTATGAAAAACTATCGGAATATAATAGGAATCTATATAATTTAAATTACAATTGGAATGTGCCGGACCCCTGTATTATCCGGTTAAATGACAGTGATCGCGTACGCGTATATCCCCCACTGCGAATAATTTTTCGCATATATGACAGTGCGTTGCACTATAAAATGCTGCGCACTGTTCTTGTGATAATATTTCCATAGGGACATTATTACGCAGAATAATTTTTATACGATGCGCCAATTGTTTAAGTTCCTCGACGAACCACGAAATGCAATTCGGATCGCGACGACACTGATATGCGGATAATGATTCATCGTAGGAACATCGTACATAATAAGCTATACTATGTACTTTATGATGCTGATACACATACGATTTTCTTTCTTCGTTTGGCGTCTTCTCTAGAATGCATTCTAGGTCAGCGTACACCACAAATGGAATCCGTTCCCTTCTGCTATAGTTGGTAAAATTAAGCCGCTTGTTGTCCTCTGTTAGCAGGATGACTGCACAGTCATTCAACTTGTTGCAATCTATGATATGATTCTCCAGTTTTTCGTTAGAATAAAAATAATGCAAGCAACTGAAACGAAAAAGAAATGGATATTACGAGTTTTTCTTTTATATCATATTTGTTATATTGTATTCATAGAGAATATCCTTACCGATCACATACAGGGTCATCGAAAAGTATCGGACCCCCTAATATCTTCAGTTAGAATGCATTTTGGAGAAAATATCCAATAGCAAAGTTATATGGTTTCAAGCGGGGAGTAAGATGATGACCTTGACTTTGACCTTGACCATGTCCTTCAGGTCATTTCAGGGTCAACATTATTTTTAAATAGAACCTCCAACATTTTATTGCATATTCTTATAGCGTATCTCGAGAGCATTTCAAAATACTATAATAAAATATTTTTTCATTAAGTACTTTTTGAGTTATAAATGTTTGAAGTTAACAATTTTTTGACACAAAATGTAAAATACCTTGTAAAATATTATTTGGTTTTCAGTAATCATAACCTTAATACTTTTGTGCGCGAAATAATGAGACGAATTAATTATTTTAAAGAAAATACATTAATCGAAAAGTATCGGCTCCCCCTAATATTTTCAGTAAGAATGCATTTTGGAAAAATGTCCAATAGCAAAGTTGTACGGCTTCAAGCGGTTATGCTAGTAGGCTAACTACTGGCAGAAAACTGCCCGAAGGTGATCGCGAGAAGCTGCTCGAATGCGTGATGTCCGAAGGCGTTAGTGAGAATCTGCCCGAAAGCGTTGGCGGGGCCGATCTTTATTGTCTCACTCTCGCAGGCACCAATAATACAAACTCTTGAGCAAACAATGCGGATCACTGATTTGAATCTTTGATGCAGTGCTGTCTTCTTCATAGCGAACAGCAGTCACCTCGTGGACGAAAACGAACAGCCCCAAAAATTGTTTCTGTAATAAAAGAAGCCATTGCACTTCAATTGATTGTTCCAAACATCTTCATTTTGTTTCCAATAGCCCAGAATTTTTTCGTAAATATTATTAATTGATCTATTAGATTTTCAGTTGCTCAACGAGCTTTTTGCTAGTGCTGATTGAAATAAACAAATCGAAAGTTGGACCAACACTTAATAATTAGTATTTTTCCCTACTTAATTATTTAGATCAATAGTACTATCACTTACCTGATTAATTCTTCTTTGCTCTAATTATGAATGGCGGAGCTTTCTGAAAGAGATCAAATAACACTGTTAATGATGCGAGGATGGAGAGATCAACAAAGAAGGTATAAAACAGTAACGCGATTATTTAATGAAAATTTTCGAAATTAAAATAATAGGATCTCCAAAAGTACTGTAATCCGTACTATTCAACGTTTCGAGGACATTGGTAGCGTTAAAAGCCGCCCAAGATCTGGTAGACGTAAAACAGCAACAAATAATGATAAGGCATTAGATGTTTTACAGTCTTTCGTTGAAAGTCCCCACATTTCCATCAATCGCATTGCACAAGAATACGAAATCGGTCATGCATCTGTCAGTAAAATTCTGAAATTGAATAAATGGCATCCATACAAACTCCATTTGTTCCAAGAGTTGTCCGAAGACGATTTTGATAGACGCATCGAATTTTGTGATCTTATGATGGAGATGATTGTCGACGATCTTCTATTACTTAATAATATTGTTTTCTCTGATGAAGCAACATTTGAACTGACTGGAAATATAAATAGACACAATTGGAGATACTGGAGTGACGTTAATCCTCACTGGAAAAAAGACAATCATACCCAATATCCACAAAAAGTTAACATATGGGCTGGTATTCTTAATGATAGACCAGTTGGCCCTTTCTTCATTGATGGCAATTTGACAGCACAAGTATACACAGTCATGCTTCGCGAACAAATTTTTCCAGCTATTCGAGACATAGCTGGTGGAAATATGGATGAAATTTATTTCTAACAGGATGGGGCTCCACCTCAATATGGTGTCATTGTCCGTCAATATTTGAATGAGGTCTTTCAGGACAGGTGGATAGGGCGAAGGGGTCATATTGAGTGGCCACCTTGGTCTCCGGACTTGACTCCACTTGACTTTTTTTGGTGGGGTTACTTGAAAAGTAAAGTTTATGCCACCAAGCCTCAAGATTTAGATGATTTAAGAGGGAGAATAACTCTAGAGATAGAACTAATACCGCCGGAAACGTTTCGGAATGCGGTTTCAGCTGTTTATAACAGATTGGCACATTGCCAGGCTGTTGAAGGGCAACAATTTGAACATTTGTTGTGAATTGTTTGGTACAATTGAATATTATGCCCAAGCTGACCAATTGCAATGAAATTCGCCTTAACTGGTCGGAATCACACACCACTCTTGCCTTAACTGGCCGGAATCACACACCACTTAACAAATTGTTAATTTCAAACCTTTATAACTCAAAAAGTACTTAATGAAAAAATGTTTCATTATAGTATTTTGGAAAGCTCTCGAGATAAGCTATAAGAATATGCAATAAAATGTTGGGGGTTCCGTTTAATAAAATAAGGTTGACCTTGAAATGACCTTGAAGGACATGGTCAAGGTCAAAGTCAAGGTCATAGCCTTACTCCCACCTTGAAACCATATAACTTTACTATTGGACATCTTCTCCAAAATGCATTCTAACTGAAGATATTAGGGGGTCCGATACTTTTCGATGACCCTGTACATATTTCTTGCATTTTTTCTTATTTACAAGGGAACGGTCGGGGGCGTCCCTCACCGATTTGAATGGGCATTGGATATGTTGTGGAGGATCAAAAAATATTAGACACGTATTTTTTTATATGTGCTTATCTCGAGGTTTGGGGTTGAAATCACCCCTTGAAAGAAACGTATTTTTTCGTTTTTATCAAATATCTTCTAAAATATGAGAGATATGAAAACAGTACATATAAAAGTTTTATAGTATTTGTTGCTTTTTGCACCTGTCAATTCAAATTTTTCAAAATATCAATTTTACACTCCCCGCTCCCCATCCACTCATTATTTTCGCAAATTTCAAAAATTTTGTAAGAACAAAAGTTAAAGAGCATTGAATTCCGAATCCATCCATATATAATAATAGTATAATTCCTCGATTCAATTTTTAGAAAAACAGTACGATGGCATCGTGGTAGGCACTGCACTGTGCGAGTAGGTAGGTACTGTTACGTGGCGTTCTTTCTTTTCAGTTGCGCTATGCTTAATAACTATCTGTGCATAATTTATCCTACTGCAAGATGAAAACGAATTAATTGTAATATGCCATGTATTATACAAAAAAACAGTGAGTACAGATAAATGTGCATATGTGACAACAGTAGCAAATACGTGTGCAACGTCGCTATTTGTACAGAAATTTCCAAAGTATATTTATATATTTCTTGAAATAAGTATGTTTATGGTAATGGCAAATCTACACACGATCAAGACGAATTAAAATAAAGTCGTAATGCATGAAATAAGGAAACACAGATTCTATTATCTCTGCAAGAAAGAGCAAGCGTGCGATATGAAAATATAACACAGCATTAACAATTGCTAAACAATATATAACGAAGAGCTTAATACTAATTACGGAATAATAATGTAGAAGAACAGGATAGAGAGGAATAATATAATAAATTGTGAAAGAATAATACTAGCAATAATATATATTTAACAATATATGTGATAAAGAAGCAGTACACAATTTGCATATGAACATGCGCGCGAATAATGAATTTGTATTATTTTTATGGTATATATTCGTTGCAAGGGTGATGATTATGGAAAAAATGTGTCATACACAATGATTTTTACACCAAGAACAAGTAATTATAGCAGTCTGGCCACAAATATCGCATTTTATGTTTAAATCACTTTGGAAGTAAAATTCAACCGGTGTTTGAAACTCTGTGGGTCTAGTCTGTATATATCAACTTTTAAACCATATTTAAATAAATTTTGAAATCTGGGCGACGAGAATTGATGATGCGTTAATGATTGCAATTTCAATATATTATTTCTAGCATGAAGATCAATTGCAAGATTTAATAACATAACAGTATCAGAAAAATGCCTAATAAAATTTTCCCATAATGGGAAGCCGTATACATCTAACGGTTGTATTTTTCCTGTTGCACCGGCTGGAATTGTTAGGGAAACAATATCTGTTGCAAAATCTGTTCTCGTCTCCTCAATTATGTTGGGACAATGTCCACTCCAAGAATCTAATAATAATACGGATTGTGGGCCAACATTCGGAAAAAATACTTCTTTCAACCAAGTTTTTATATGACTCGATGTTAATTTGCCTGATTTAGAAGCCGTAACAAAAGTATTAGGTGCTTTGAACATAGTTTCTTTTATTCTAGGACCGAATGTTCCTGTTACTTCCTTTAAATTAATAAAAAGAGGCGATAATAGTCTATCATCTGCAGAAATAGTTGGCTGTATAGTATAACTGTGTGTGGTTGCTGATGTAGATTGTATTACAGCTTCTATATTTTTTAGACCTTTTTGGGATAAAGTACGACCAGAGTGAAATTCAAGTTGGAATCCACTCTGATCCGAATTATAAACATTGTCTACGCCGTATCGTTCAATATAATATTTTACATTTTCAATAAATGTATTACACTTATCCTCTAAATCTGTTTTCGATAACAATGATTTTTTTGTTACAAATTTTGTTATTTTTCGAGAGACGATATCATATGAAATTTTGAATCTTTTTACCCACGTTTCGAAAGCTTTGAATCCTACCACATTTTTCTCTTCTTGTGCTCGAGAAGCCCATCGAGCAATGTCAATGTCATGAATAATTATTCTATTTTCAAGCGCTTCATTAAAACGGTTTATTGTATATTCAGAAATTCTTTTTAATTTTTCATCTCTGCTGTCATCTGCACTGATTTGGTCCTCCCATCGTCGTAATTGTCGCATCGGTGTTACTTTTCTGTATCTTCTTTTAACTCCTTCAAGCGATCTTGGTCCTGTTTTACCGCTCTTCCAGTATTCCACAGCTTGCCTTTTATAATCATTTGATATTCCTGCTTCAACGGAGCTACAAATAATCTTCCGGGAGATATTCTTTTCTTTCGTTTTCCTCTAATAAATCAATATTTTCCGCTTCTGGAACTTCATATATATTGTAAAAATCTAAAGTTTCTTCCTCTTCTACTTCAAATTCTTCTTCATTTTCTATTTCTTTTAACAAATATTCAATCTTCTCCTTCACTTCTACTTCTTTTGGAGTTATCGGACTTTGTGGAAAGTTAAGAGCAATGAAAGTTGTATAGAGTAACATTGTAACATTCAAGAGATTAAATTGCATCATTCTGAAAAATATTAAAATGAAATATTTTTCGCGAACCATGATATATAAAATAATATATAAAATAAAACACACTTTATAATTAATGCAATGTTTTTCTTATGTTAATCTTGATGCCGCTTCTTCTCTCTGTCAAATATATGTAGTGAATCCAGATTAAATTAATGTCGTGATAACGGAAAGACAGCTCTATATTTACGTATATAGATATTCTGAAATTGAAATAACTACACATATTTTTTCTTCAAATTAGTAAAAATTTTCTTTGATTATTAATCATTATTATATATAATTTATAATTTAACTCTTGCTCAATTTCGCTCCATTTTTCCGTATATTATCACATTACTGATAACTCGACAAACTCTTGCAATTCCAATAATATAAAATAGAGAATGACAAGATATGTAATAATAAATATAAAATAATAATATCAGTTAGTAATAATAATAAATAATAATAATAAATATAAAATAATAATATCAGTTAGTAATAAATACTTATGTATTTAACAAAGAATGTATTAAAAGAAGTTTTGAACACACACATAGAGAGAAAGCAATATGTACTTATAAACTTGCGCTCACAAATGATACGTCGTGAAACGTCGTGGATACTTATTGCGACACTAGCTTGTACTACTGCTTATATATGAAATGTATCTCTATATATTACATTTACTCATGATTTGCGTCGCACAATGTGGCTGCTTTCCAGCACTTTAAATAGCTCACATAACTGTAACGTCTACGACACTTGATATTCATCTATTATTAGAACTATGACAAAATCGAAAATAAACAGGATGGAAAGAAGATATGACAATAATACGACGGCACAACACTTTCATGATTGTAGATGTGTATGTGTATATGTGGTGCGTGTGTGTGAAAATAATTACGTTATCAATATCATATTATATATAGTTATGCAATCACGTATGATTTCATGAATGCGGGGTTTTTCACGTGTCATAGATTCGATGGAAACGCCGCGTTAATAAACATGATTGATTTTATAATTCATGTATCACTTCCGTCGTAGTATTTACCACCACAAAAATAGACACACAAACTTATTATATATAAAATCTAACTTTCAGAGCGTATACGTATATCTTTTTATAAAGACAAAGCATAGAATAATTGTTGTGTATAAATCTATGATTGTTATTAATAACTTTATTATATATTGAAATGTTTTATGATTACATATTCTCCGTGTCGGTATTAATCGCCTATTATTCGAAAGAAATTTGAAGAGAACGTGTTGCGTATATTATCGAGTGAGGTAGGCGCTGTGCATAGCGTGTTACGGGTATACACGGACATTTCCATCTATTTTTCGAAAAGCCGTATCTCGGAAAGTAACATTATTATATATGGTTGGATTCGGAATTCAATGCTCTTTAATTTTTGTTCTTACAAAATTTTTGAAATTTGCAAAAATAATGAGTGGAGGGGGGAGCGGGGAGGGTAAATTTGATATTTTGAAAAATTTGAATTGACTGGTGCAAAGAGCATCAAATACTGTAAAACTCTTACATTTACTATGTTTTCATATCTCTCATATTTTAGAAGATATTTGATAAAAACGAAAAAATCCGTTTTTTTCAAGGGGTGATTTCAACCCCTAAACCTCGAGATAAGCAAATATAAAAAAATACGTGTCTAATATTTTTTGATCCTCTACAATATATCCAATGCCCATTCAAATCGGTAAGGGACGCCCCCGACCGTTCCCTTGTAAGTGCATGAAATTTCGAAATTTGAACGGCCGCCATTTTTAATGGGGGGGGCGTAGTAGCGACTTAAAATTTTAAGGGTGTGTTTGTTATGAAAAGATCTTTCAAATCGACTCCCCCCACTCGACCCATAGTCCAATTAAAAATTTTCAACCCCTTTTACACCCACGTACCAGAGGGTGGGGAATGATCGGTATCCATGTCTTATGGTAGCTTTTTTGAAAAATCAAAATACGTGTTTTACCGTTTTTTGATATTTTCATTTTTACAAAAATTATTTAAGGGTTTTCACACTTTTGACAAAGCCTGTATACAAATAGTTTGCACAAAAGTTTCTTATAGTGCTAGTGCATAAGCGATATACAGGTTGGTCGCTTTTGGAGAAACGTCTATATTTATATTTTTCTTATTCTACAAATAAGTGTTCAGATTTGCAGGAGAAAGAACACGCTCTACTATTCTTACGCCACTACGTAACCGTATGGTGACAGAGTGACCTGTGTCGTCGAATCTACGTTTTAGGAGCACCGGCACGCATGACTTGTTCTCGTCTCTCGTTACAATGTCGTGAAACGCTGTATGACGAATCACTCTAAAACGTAGATTTATCGAAATTTTCCTCGGATTCTCCTTCTTCTCTTCCTCGTTCTCATTGATAGGTATTTTATTAGTGACTAATAAATCTTTTATATTACTAAAATTAATGTATTTCGATTTCTCAAAGTTCAAGATTGTCCCCTTTACTTTGCAAACTTCATGGATTTTACCTTGTAGAGTGCGAACGACATAAGCATAAAATTTTGGGCCACCGGATACAAAGGATTCTATTAGGTGTACAAATGAATAATCCAATCTTTTCAGCTACATTCAAAGTTTATTTTAAAAGAAAGTAAATTAAATTGTTCTATCAAAGTATTCGCCGTTGCTTTCTATAACTTTAAGCCATCTTTCAGACAGCTGATGAATTCCATCTCGGAAAAATGTTACGTCTTTGGATACGATAAAGTCGTCAGGCCATTTTCGGATCTCATCCACTGATTCGAAGTGCATATCGGACAAGGCGTGTTGCATCGACTGGAACAAGTGATAATCGGATGGAGCAATGTCTGGTGAATACGCCGGGTGCTGCAAGACGTCCCAGCCAAGACTCATTATGGTGTCTTTTGTATTGGAAGCAATGTGTGGCCTGGCGTTGTCATGCAACAATTTCACTGGACGTTCTCCTTTGCCAGTATACGGACGTTTTCGTTCCAATTCTTGACTCAAGCAGATTAATTGATGTTGGTAGCAGTCCGCAATAATTGTTTCACCCGGTTCCAATAACTTATAATAAAGCACGCCCTTGATATCTCACCAAATGCAGAGAAGAACCTTCTTTCCGAAGCAATTGGGTTTTGCCACCGATTTTGATGATTCGCCAGGATTTACCCATGACTTTCTGCGTTTCGAATTGTCATAGAGTATCCATTTCTCGTCGCCCGTAACGATTTCCCATAAGAAAGACTTTCGACGCTGCTTATTGAGAAGAGAAAGACACGCTGCCACTCGTTGATTTTTGTTGGTTTCAGTGAGTTCATGCGGAACCCATTTTACTTCTTTCTGGATCTTTCCCATCTCATGTAGGCGTTTGGAAATCGTTTGCTGCATTACTCCCAACTGTTCTGCAAGCTCTTTTTGTATTTGTGCCGAATTCTCAGCGAGCAGTTGTTCCAAATCATCATTATCGCACTTCGGAGGGCCTCCAGGGTGTTGTTTGTCGATTAGACTGAAATTACCGCTTTTAAACCGCTTAAACCAAAATGCGCACACATCGTACGATACAACACCTTCGCCGAGAAAGGAACAAATCGATTCGCTCGCTCTTGCAGCATTTTTTCCCTGTTGGAATTCATAAAGAATGCAGTGTCGGATATACACCTTATGTGTTGCCATTTTCGACTGTACTGAACTGAATACTTTTGAAAGTTATGTTGAGCCCCTCGCCAAACTATATGTTCTTTTTAATAACTATATGTCAACATTGCATAATCACAAAAGAGCGGGAAAATCTATTCAATTTAAAATTGATTTCATAACTGCTTAAAATAATTTGAATTATTCATTTGTGCACCTAATATATAGCTACTTTGACCATAACTTTCAAGTTCATCCGTCATATCGCCCAAATATTACTCGTACGCGGCTCGTACTCATAGGGGTCACCGGTGCTCAAATATATACATGAATCAGTATCATAATATAACACTCTACGATCTAATTTTTCTAAATAAACATGCAATTTCAAGCGTGCCTATGCCGTCGTGTAGGCCGCTTTTACGACGTTTGTAGTTGCAGAGGGAACAAGCGCCTCTTGTCGTAATCGCAATGAGACGTAGAGAACCTCATCGTTCACGGGCAATATGTTTATGATTTCATGCTCAGGACTCGTAAGTAGCGACATGAAATGTTCGCTTGTCTTAACGACCTCGGCATTCGGCAGATTAGATCGCTGACCGAATTTACCCCAGAACGAATTGAGGCAAAGCTTTACAACCGAACGCAACTCCGAATTTACCG